GAGTAGTGAGTCTATTGACCGCTGTGGACACCTACACCCGTTTATTGAGCCACATGCAGTAGAATGTAATTACTTTAAACTAGTTTTAAAGTAATGCATGGGACTAATGAAGGAAAATTATTATTTAACAAATACCGCGATGTGTCAAGTATTTCTGGATGTAAGCCCATCGGAGTCAAGTATAAGCTGTAACTTACCGCCAATTCACCATATTCTGTTGCCAAACTGAAGTCGCTAACGTAACGAGAAAATTAATATGCTGTCTCCAGGCCAGAAATGATTTACACCTGCAGATCAGGGTGCATTCATAGGAATGTTCCACACGCACGTCAGCCTATGACCTGTCATGTTCTTGACCTACAAGGCGTCTTCCTTACGGTGTGGCTTAATAAGTTGTGGGCGATTCCGCATTCAACTCACACACTTGCTAACACAAAGTAGAAGAGGGAGAAGCAGGACAAGTGTCTCAATGATTTTTGCAGGCACATTATATTGTTGAACACACTTATTAGTTCCTGTTCAAAAATTAAAAAGGGTCGTAAAATGGTGGAGGTAAATGTCCATTATCTTGTTGGTCAAAGCGAATGAGGTGTGCGGAGTAAAGTCTTCAGCTGTCACGTTTTGGATAAGGCATTGCCGCCCGCGGTAAAGGCAAGTGGCGCATTAGTGTCCCAAGCTCTACGAATTTGGAGTCACTCCAGTATACGTAAACTCAAGAGCTGAATTACTGATGCTACGAGCGGCGTACACAGGACACTGATTTGCAAGCAATTTAATAAGCATTGGGAGCCAAGAATTGGAAAGCATGCTAATTAGGATAGAGGTTAGAAACGTTTGCTGTGGGAATTGGATTTTACAGATATAAGGTTGCTTTCTAGCTCACTAAACCATCGAATTTGTTATCATTGTGCTATTTCCTTGTGCCAGCCTGTCATTGAGCATAATTTCTTCGCCTACTCTGTCTGCGGCAGACCCATTTACGAAATCTGGACCGATCTCGCATGCGCGATGCCGCAGTTGCAGGCACGAATAATGGTTAGTTAAGTGTTCTGATTTTTCTGCAATGTATGCAGATTTCGTTGGGTTACAAGCCTAAATAGCAAAATCGGAGGACCATTTCATTGTAGCAAAGATGGAGTCGAGAGGAACTGGGGAGATCAAATTGACAATAGACATGAATGATGCCTCCAGCTATTGCATGACCCTAGTCTTGCTCTCAGCACTGATTTTCCTGCGCCAGGTTTCGCCGTGCATTCGTTTATAGTTTACCTGAGCTAAAAACCATCTGCCTTTCCTCCTTCCCAACCCAGCATTTAAAAGTGGGAAAAACAATTGCTTCCAGCATTACATGATATTTAGCTTTGCGATTTTGTCAAAATATTGCAAACTTTGCTTTGGCTACACCCTTAGTATCCTCCAAGATGCAAGATGCAGCATTTCTTTCCGACGAAAATTAAGCCGCGAATTTTCCTGCATTGCGCAAAATGTGTTTGATGGGATTGAATACCGAGGGCAGAAAACTGCATCAAAGTGAATTTTGAGACGAGTTGATTGTCATGATTATGCTCTCTAGTGTCTCTTGACTTTACCGCTGCAC